CACCACCGAGCACACACATGTCAACACACACACACACACACGGTTTCACACGGAGGGCCGGGCATGCGCCTGATCTGGTTTCCTCTTTGCTTTGCGAGCGACCCGCAGTGATAAAATAAACACAAATACGTGATAATCACATTCCAGACATTTCTCTCCCGCCGGTGGGAAGTTTCAACTGGTTTTCTGCAAGAGTTGGTCTGACTGTGTGTCTGTGTGTGTGTGTGTGTGTGTGTGTGTGTGTGTGTGTGTACACGTGTGTGTGTGTGTGTGTGTGTGTGTGTGTGTGTGTCCGCATTCTTGTGTGTGTGTGTGTGGTGTACAAAACAGGAGAAAGAAAACGAGAGACAGGGAACAAAGAGATCTCGGGGAGAAGTCACACACATTCCTCTGTCCTGGGCATATAAAGTATACTAATGCAGCAGAGCTCCACACAGACTCACACTCACACACACACACACACACGCACAAACACATGCGCGGTAAGAGAGCCGGATCTGAATAAAATCTCATCTGTGGCATTAATCTGACATGAACAATTCCACTTTGTCCTTTTTTTTTTGGTGCAAATGACATCATGCAACATTCATAAAAATCCCACTGATGATTTCATCATCAACCCCCCCCCCCCCCCCCCCCAAAAAAAAACTGGGGGGGGTTTTAAAAAAAAAATGCCCCAACACACAAACAGAAAAAAAACCCACACTCGTGTTTTCCAAACGAAACTAAAAAAAAACAGGCCTACCTCGTTGGTGGATTCTTTGGTCTACGTAGAAGGAGACAGAAGCCGTGAGAAAGACTCATTGCAGAGAGAGTGGAAGTCAACGGGACGTACCTGAGCACATGGCCCGCGCACACGTCCTCAGTCAGCACGCTTTGTTTCTCCTGCTCGCCGCTGCACGCTTCTCCTCCATCCGTCCGTCTCTCTGCGCCTCTCTTCTAGTCGTTCTCCTCCTTCCCCATTCTCTCTCTCTCTCTCTCTCTCTCTCTCTCTCTCCCTCCTTCTCTCCTCCCCTCTGCTGCCCTCTTCAAACTTCTCGTTTTTTTTCCCCCCCCGAAAAATAAATAAATATAAAAGCGAACTTGTCCCTGATTCTGCACCTCCCTCCTCTTCTCTGCCTCCTGCGCGCAATAAAGTCGACCCTCTTTATGTATGTGAGAGTGATCCACGAAGGCAGTCTTAAGAATGTCTCTCTCCTCCCCCCAACACCGCATGGAGAGTGTGTGTGTGTGTGTGTGTGTGTACGCACTCGTCGTTTATTGTGTCCACGAACATATATGCACTCGCTTTTTCACTGCATGTGAGATTTACAAATCAAATTTGGCAAACGCGTATTTCTTCAGATGTCAAACAGACAAATCTCAGCTTTTCTTCTTGCTCTTTGCCGAGGGAGATGAATTGGCGAGTGAGAGAGCTGGAGGCTGAAAGACGGACAAATGGAGGACGGAGAGGACGGCAGATAGAACATTGGTCGGCGGCGCAAGCGGCCTTGAATCGAGCTCATGTTTCATACGGTGGATTTTTAATAGAGGCTCTTTTAACACTATGATGAAAGGTTTATTTGTCACACCAGTGAAGGGAAGAGACACATTGTGAAGATTCCATTGAGCTGAACTATCAACGGGCGAGCAACACAATGAGGTGGGTTTGTTTGTTGGAAGGTTGTTGTATCTTCAGTGCAGGAAGTGTCTTCACGCAGGATTTAAGCTTCAACCAATAGCGGCACTTTGCTCTTAATTCAACTCAATTCATTTCTTGCATCATCCTGCACAATCATTCCCAAACTTCAACCTTAGCACGAGGTGAAAGTTTTACTGCCCAAATATATTAGAAAAGCCACCAGGCGTAAAACCTGATTTAAAAACAGGTTGTTAAAACCTCCGGATAAGACTTGCTAGCTCGCTAGCTCGCGGCCAGTTTGGAGCGACGTCTTGTATACGCGGCGTGTTGGTTCGCCTCCAGCCCTTCAGCACATTGTATTTCATTCAAGTTCTAAGTTATAGTTCTGCATTATTGTTTGAAAATTATAACATGGGCCGTTTTTTGCTTTCGCCGCGGCTACGATTTCTTTTTTTCCACACGATACGCGTGACGCCCTTTCAGCGGTTGATTTGGGGAAGAATCCTAAAGGAGCATCTTGATAGAGATAAAAATGAGAGAAATGTTTGAAACGAGTAAATCCTGAAACAGGTGGCGCCGCGGAACTCATGCGGGCGGTGGTCTCGGTTTGGGGGGGATAGAAGCGGCGTACGTACGGCCGACATTAGCCAATAAAACCCCAGACAAAAACACACGTAACCCCAGGACAAAAAATGCCTCACGTGTGTCTCAAGTGATTGTTTTGGAGACGTTGATCGAAACACAAAAAAACAACCCGTGACTGTGTAACGGTGTTTTTGGTTCGCTGATGTTCAGCTACAAGCTAGCTGTAGCTACAAGCTAGCTGTAGCTACGAGCTAGCTGTAGCGTAAAAGCTGAATGCAAGTTGCGTGCCGGGCTGTGACGTAAGTCTCCACGTGGCGTAACGCCGTCTCCGAACAGTCTGGAGGAGACGGCGGAGGACTGGGTTCTTTAATCCAGTGTCCTCCCGGGACGACCGACCCTTTGACGTCACAGGACGAGTACCGCGACGCCGCGCCAACAATCCCCACGAGGGACAAAATGAAGCATCTTGCTTTTCTTTTAACTGTTTAAGTGATAAGATTGTTGATTATAGAATCAAGACCTGTTGAGTAAGTCGGCAGAATTTTGAGAAGAATTTGAATTTTTACTGTGTTCTTTTGATGAGACAAAATACGTATATCCTATATATATATATAAAATATAAACATATCTAAAGAATAGTTAAACTTTCAGTAAAATTCAGTAAAAAAACGGCAATACGATTTAGAAAAAAAAAATGAAAATAAGAATAGAAATGAAAAAAGTAAAATAACACGAGTGCTTGATTGCAATATAACCAGTGATATTGTGTGTGATATTGATATATTTATATTGAAAGGTAACTATGATATTGCCCATGAGGTGGATGTTTTTCCTCGGTGGCCTCAGCCGGCTCCTTAAAGTGTCTCCGATGTGGCGAGCAGGAGATAACTGAGGACTTTTCTAAACGTCGCGCTAGTATGAATACGGGCAACGGGCGCAGAATGAGGGATCTTCTTCGCACGTGCACACGTCTACTCGGATTGCGTGATGGAACTTGATTCTGTTGGTATCAGAGATTTCCACATCTCGTTCTACCATTTGGCCTCGTCGTCCTCCTCCTCCTCCTCCTCCTCCTCCTCCTCCTCCTCCGTAAAGCCTCGACAGGTGTGCTGCAAGGGACGGTTTCACACTCTTCCCCGGGATTCACAAGTCATGAGTTTCCCCGCGCTGGACGGCGACAAAGTGAGAAAACACATACGTGTGTTGACGTCGCAATCACAAATTCCAAAAACGTGGTTTAGAAGGGCAGAAAAGAAACCCAAACGCGGCTAATGGGGCTGCGACGGGGGAATGGACGCTGCCCGTAATCTGCCTTTGTCTTTTCCCAAACGTTATCCCGCGTTTCCTCCGGCTCCACAACATTATGGAAGGGAAGCGGACGCTGGAGTCTGGGGGTGCTTTTCCGCTCCACGTGAGGGGGCCGTCACAACGCAACGCAGAGCCGCGGGAAATTCGGCACGCGGGTCAGAAACTGAGACTAAAGGTCGGCTCGTGGCGCTTAAGGACTCGGCTGCGGTCTTGCTTTCTGCTTTTGTGCGGCAGGCTATAGAAGCTCTTCGGGAACAGCCTTTTTCTACTGAATGGCCACCCTTGCATGCCCACCTCCTCTTCGCATCCGCCCATCTTCCCCCGGCCAGCTGTGTGTGTGTGTGTGTGTGTGTGTGTTTGTGTGTGTGCGTGGGAGTGTGAGGGTGAAGGAGGACCACTCTGCGTGGGCTGAACAGTGCCCGGGCTTTTCTCTGCTGTGGTGTTAATAGGCCTTTTTTCTCCCCTCAGCGGGACACAGAGAGCTGTCATTTACATGGAGGTAATGGAGTGATGTAGAAGTGGATGGAATATGTGTGGGCGAACGATGATGAAGGCCTATGGCACCTCTCTCCCTCGCTCGCTCGCTCGCTCGCTCTCCCTCTCGCGCTCATTCTCTCTCCCCAACTCTTTTTTTCCGCTTTTCTCCAGCGTCTTTCTCTCGTTCCCCACATAGCTGAGTGCCGCGTTGCGTCTCCTTCGTCGACATCACTCATCAAGCGGCTGTTGTGATCGCTGCCAATCAGAATAAACACCGGAAACCAAACAGCAAAGTTTTTTTTCTCCCTCTTCCCTCCCTTTTCTAATGTTGAATCCCGCTCAAAAACAAAGAGAGAAGGGAAGCAGGAGCCGCAGCCGAGGGTTGACGGAATGAAATGTCTCTGCATATCAATTAGATATTCTTTCGTAACGCATTAACAATCGTTTGGTTATCAAAGAATTCGTGTCTCGCTTGGCAGTGGCACCGACGGCGGCGCTTGAGCGCCGTCCAAACACATGGGAGAACGGGTTGGCTCGGTGGGAGAGTCGGAGAGCCTGCGTGGAAGGGGAAGGCAATCATCCAGCCAAGCTGCCACCACCAATTTAGTTGTTCAGTTAAATTACATGAAATTTCAGCGAAAGGGGTTCGATCGACAGTTGAAGAGCCTGATGAAATATTACACATTGGTAACTGCTTCATCACAAAAAAAAAAATGAAAAGAAAGAAAGAGATCCTGAGAGATGGGAAATGCATGAAGTATTTAGACAGGAAAAGCTCTGGTCACATGATCGAGTATTGCAGTTTTCTCTCCCATGGACACTAAGCTGTTTCTTTCTTGTGTCTCATGATGACGGAATGCCGATGGAACGTCAATTAAGGTCCCAAGTTGCAACAGAGCAACGGTCATCGCAGCTATCAAATAACGAAAAGGAGCCTTTATGGTGGGTGCAGGTGCAGGTGGAGGTGCAGGTGGAGGTGGAGGTGCAGGTGGAGGTGGAGGTGCAGGTGGAGGAAGATCGGTCCAATCAAAACAGGACTTAAACCACGTGAACGCTCTCTTTTAATCCCCACTTGTGGCTTGAATAATATTTCCTACACCTGATCAATGGTTTTGTTGCCTAAACCCGTCTTTTATGTCATGATGTGACGTCGCACTGTGAGAGACATGAAAAGAAGAAGAAAACATGCACACAAACCGATAGATTTGCTTCACAACACCATTTACGAAATAAAAATGTCTCAATATTCTCAATAAGTTATGTGGGCTTCTGTTAAATTACTTTTCTGTTAAAACACATTTTTTATCACACAAGTTGCAGATATATATTGAAGTATATTATATATATATATATATATATATATATATATATATATATATATATATGTTTCAATGTATTTTGGGAACCTAAAGAACTTCTTTTAAATTAACAACAACTTTTACATTTTGAGTTTCTAAATGACACAAAGAAGAAAGTGACAGGAATGATATAAATAGATCAAAGATTTCTGAAGATTTCCCCTCAACTGAAAAAGAAAAAGGCAGCGGAATCAGATATTGTTGTGCACGTCATGGGAAAGTCACGGATTTTATAGTGACAGTAAATGAGAAAAATCCCATTTTTAATTAGTTTTATATTGGATTTAGTACCTGGACAGAGAAAACCAAAAGCAGGAAAGATTCCACAGAAACAAAAGATGAAATAATTTAAAAAGTAACATGCGTGATGAGTAACATAAATGAGTTCTGTCTGTTTCTTTAATTTTCCAAGAAGAAATTCCGCTCACAGCCTCATATTCAGATTGAGATTTAGCAACAAAATGCAGTTTAAAAATCAAAAAGTGTACTTGATAAATAGTAGATAAATGAATAAAAAAAGAAAAACAACAGTGCACCAATATAACAATACATGTTGTGTGTCAGCTTGTTACAACACTTCTTTGAGGCTGAAAGACACCAAGTTAAAATCAAGAAACAGTTAAAATTTCTGCTTTTCTTGGAAACTCTGAGTCTTTTCATAATAAAACGGAGTGGGTTTGAACAACGCTTGGCTGCACAACACGCGCCGATGGAGCCACCACTTCATATTTTGCCAGAATAAAAAAAAAAAAAACTCCTTTTATGAAAGATGCACCAGATGAATTGTGTAGTCTCAATATTAGGCTCGTCGATTGTGAAGCGCAGATCCGATTTGAGTAAGTTCAGTAT